GGAGTAGCGTGCGCGCTCCACCTTGTTTCGATCACGTGATACGAGCTTACGAAGATGGTGGAAGTTTCTTCTTCCTTGAAGTGAAACCCCCAACAGAAACCCAAAGGGGGGTTTGTTGGCCTGTTTGTGTTATGAAAACTGAAAAGCCAGTTGGGGGTTGGGACCAAAGTAGCAGCTCAAACACCTATTAATACACTGATAGCTGCCTGGCAAGAGCAGGCTGTTCCACTCAGACACACACTAGAGTGCAGGGGTGCAAAGTTTCCCACAGGCACATGCAAAGTCCAGGAAACATCTTAGAGCATTCACACGAAATCAAGCAATGAGGTGGTCTGAAAGCTGAGAATGCACAGGTATGATGACTACACCTCGGCAACACTAGGTCGAGAGCACAGTGTTGAAGAAACTTAATTCGAATGGCAAATATAAGAAACAAATGCACAAAGCAAAACAGGAAACTGTTGTTGACATAAAAGTTTCTTGTAAAGTTTTGATAGAAATGTAATAAAACAAGTGAGAGTCACTTATACAGAGCATGTAATTCTCTATCTCTCTTTTTTTTAAACACACACACATTCAAAGCAGGTCCTACCAGTCTGCAGAGGTTTTCTAGTGATTGCTAATGTGCATGTAGAAGGAAATGAAAATCACCCGGGAGAAATGCAAATGCTAAGAGAAATAACAAAGCACTTGTCAGTCTGCTGTGAACAACTTCGAGCAAGCTTGTGTGCACCTCTGTGTTTCCTATATTATTTTACTCTCTGTGCTGTTAAGTCAGACTGAATGTCAAAAGGAGCACTTGGGGATGCCTTCCTTAATTTGCGTTCTGTAATTAGTTTATCAACCGGCATTAATCAAGGATGTGAAGATTTTACAACAGCAATGTCAATTTCAGCAGAAATCCCTTCCCCACATTGCTTACTGCTTTAAAAAACTGTTCTATTAGAAGCCATCTAGCATTTGATTGAATCTCAGAGTGCTCCTAATGACAGGAAACACTATCACCTCCCACTAAAGCACTGCTATATTGTCCATCTTTAATGTCAGATGTCATTTACTTTTCATGCCATGTTGACTCACTGCAGACTCCCTGATGTTGACCATCTGCCATCTGTGCTTCGCAGTAGTGAAGATAATCATGGCATACACTATTTTATCCCTCTGTATTCTATTCATATATTACTTAGAACTGCAACAGCAGTAGCAGCCAAGGAGTCAGCTCAGGGTGTGACCTTCCCTCAACTTGCATGAACCCTATATACAAAACCCCATAAGGGAAAAAAAAATGTTAGAATCTTTTAATATTGCATAAAATGCTTTCAGTAGTGTCAGCTACAAAAACCTTATTGTTCTCTATCATAATAAACATACTCGTAAATAGTTCTATTATTTTTTGTGAAAAAATACAACGTGCATGATTATTACTACGTGTTACAGACACCTTGTATCGGATTTACATGCCTACATCGTGGATTTTCCACAGTCATGGAGTAACTTTTCTTATGCATTGCATTGGTGCAGTTTTTCTTTTTCATAAGACACAACACGTTTGCATCTTGCGCTGTGTGGCCACAATTCAAGTGAAGGCTCATAAACATTGTATTAAGTCGTGCCCTGGACTGTTCCTAATGCCTGATGTTGAGATTTGTGGCTTACCTTTTCTTTGAGTTAGCTGTCAAACTGTCTTCTCCTCCAAATATCCCCATGCTTGCATGATCCGAACAGAGAACTGTCTCATGCTGTCTCTGTATCAACAGTGACCAAACCCGACCACCCCGCTATAGGAGTCAAGACAAACGTCATAGCGAATACTACGTTCCTGTTAGCACTTTCAAAATAAAGCATCTCGGAACTGAACTGACATATTTGTATTCATTAAGTGTATAGTACAATACATCCTATTTTACATTTATGTTCTATTTATTAGATTGTAATATCTATGAATTATAACACACGCAGTATGTAGTATATTAACCTATTGCTATATTAAATTTAGTGAGCTTTAGTAAACACTCTTCTCTTTGTCCCTACAGCTCTTTGTCCTCACCGAGGAGGTGACAACGATTACACAGTCAGCTATACAGCACAACACTTCCATCTGCCGTTTGTTGTTGGACCACCATCTGTAAATAGGAAACAGCCTCCATAAGAAATATTTCTAACCAAATTAGAAATATGACTACATTTAAAGTCAAATACAAAATATGTTGGTAATCAAGTAGTCTTTTGATATTTTTAATGGCATGTTAAATTTTACATTGTCAAGAGCTACATAGGACAGATTAAGATTGAACAGGAATTTCTTTTTGCACACAAGAGATTTGTGGATATTTTATTCTAACTGTATTTACCTAAGCCTATTTTCACTAAACACATCATAAACACATTTATGTATCAAGTTTGCCACAGAAGATGATGGATATCCTTCATATCAAGTATGTATAAAAATATATTCGTTATTTTAAAAAATGCTGCACAAGGCATTAAAAACATTGCGTTAACGTAAGGTTTATGAGTAGACTGCAAGTACCTTAAATGCATCATTATGTTTACTGACCGTCTATTGGTTCGTAGCACTACAACTCTTGTCCAATCACGGCACAAAGAGGGAGTAGCGTGCGCGCTCCACCTTGTTTCGATCACGTGATACGAGCTTACGAAGATGGTGGAAGTTTCTTCTTCCTTGAAGTGAAACCCCCAACAGAAACCCAAACATCCTGGTGAGCGAAGGCTGGGTGGACACTTTAGATACAGCGCGTTAGTTTTACAGCTCCTCGCTCGGACTCCGGTAAGTAATGGGAGCCAATAACTGGTGTTCTCATCGGTGATATTAGCTTTTTCCACAGCCGTTGGACTTTGGGATTTCCAGCCAGCCATGATGATGACACAAGCTAGCAGGCTAGTAATTAGCCTGGGCTGGGATGGCACCAGGCTGTCAATTCTGGTGGCCAGCTGACATTCAACACGTACTCAGCAACTCTAGTTAAAAAGCCACAGCGGCGAACATAACTAAAAGTGGTCAACTTCATGGCTTTTGACTTTGGCAACCAGGACATACTGTACTTCTTTCTCCGGCTAACCGAATTAGCGTTAGCTTGTTATCAATTCCTAGTTGGATTAAATTATGTAATCTTACGAACGTTTCTTAGCTTAGCATCCAAGACACGGAATGTGGAGGTACATTGAGTAGTTTCTTCTCAGCTATGTGCTGTCATTTGCGAAGGAAGGTGCGCCACACTCAATCTGATATTTTAGTAGTTCGATTAAATCTTTACGCTTAGACGTCATGGAGTCATTTCTCAGTACGCTATTGAGGAATGTTGAAGTGATTTGGTAGGAATTTATATTATTATAAATGGGTTTGTGTCAGTGAAGCAGTGAAAAGAAGTGTTATTAAAGGTATACGGAAGCTTGTTGACTCTTCGGGAAACTGACTGCACCTGTCAAACGTCACTGCTCCCAAGTGCCCTCCATTAGCAAGCTGTCCTGACCGCATAGTTTTCTCTTTTGACATAATTGCTTTGTAAACATAATGCAAGAATGACGTTTACGTTATTTTGTGCCCTCGGTCGCAATTGTTCTCAACAGTCTCCGATTTTTACTTATAATGACGGTTTTTGAGTATTGTTTGCTTGAATCGTAATATTAGAAAACCCATTTGTCCCTTTTATCTGACAAAGATTTCGTGTTCGTCATTGCGACGGTATGTTGTTTTGATGTGCTGCATTGTTTTGCCCTCTTAGTCATGATGTAAACAGCGTGTCCATGTGATTTAACAAGGTGTTAGCAACCTTGACAATAGAAGTTCAGCATATAGTAATGAAAAGCTCCTCTTATGCGGTTTTGGTCATACTGTTCAAAATAGTTGGTTCACCTGCAACACCACAGCACTAACAGGCAATAGTTGAATCAGTCTGAGTTCAGATTAGTTTCAAGAAACCCCAGATGCACTTTGTGAAATAGTGGGAGATGTTGCTTAGCTGAAAACACAAAAATCCAGTTTAGTATCCAGGAAATACACTCATCCATGATACACATTCAGCCTACTTGCAAGGATGCAAAGTCAGCAATTATAATGAATTATTGACTGAGACCAGTAGCCAACGTGAAAGTTTACCCGGGAGCTCCTCACTGTCTCCTGCTCTGCTGTGTGCGTAGACTGTTGGATGAGCTAGAGCTGAGGACCCTGCATTATTCAGTGCCACACTGAAGTAACCACAATCAAGAAAAGATCACAGGGCCTGCTTCAGAGCTTTCGGAGTTCATATACTGTTGACATGCTTATAAGCAAACAGTATAACTGGCCCTGGCAACCTTATCCTCAGAACCAATTATTGCTGTTGTCGGTGTATTTTTGGCATGAGCTTTATGTAATTGCTCTCATGTATTATATAAATGAAATTGTGATCTTAAAGTGAAGACTGGTGACAAAGATCACAAGTTTTTTTGTTAGACCCATAAGATTTTCTTTTACAGCCACCTTACAGGTTTCACAGCCTGCAGCCCTGGCCTTTGCCTCCTTTTGTGGTCTTTTATTACCTTCCATGATGACGCAGCATTTAGGAGATTTTTACTGTTGCTTGAACTGATATTCTTTTTATTTTGAGTTTACCGTCAGTCTGTTCCCTTGTTGCGGACGTTTAACAGGTCATTATACTGTTAGTGTTGTTAAGGATGGGATCCTGAAAGGAAATACAATTATTTTTTTTAATGTAGACTTTCTACTATTCAAAATGACTCTCCAGGTGATGACATTATTTAGGTAGAAGTCTTTGTACAAAGGAAAAAATATGTATGCATGTTGCTGATGTCCTAAGTAGGGTGTCCGTTGAGCTAAGCTAAGCTAACTTGTTTGCACAGATTTGGCGAGAATAGTGATTTGGCGTATTTCTTGTTTATCTTAGACTTTGAAGATACTTGGGTAAAGGCTGCTTGCTTCAAGCCAAACCCAGTGAAAGCATTTGCACAGGAATATAGGAAGAAATATGCATTAGAGGTAATTTGGAGCCCACAGTTATGATACTTTTGTGTCAGCTATGGAAGATGTACGAGCTTGGTGTGCTTTATGCATCTTGCAAGGTTCTTATAGTGACTGACTGTTATAGCTTTGACTGCTGAACTGCAGCTGATTAAATTGACTAATTGATTAATTCAGTTTTAGTTGCAACAAATGTAGTCTCAGTGCACTTTACAGACAGGTGTTGGAGCGAGTTTTCCATTAATCAAATAGTTAGTGGTTTGTTTCCCAGCTTTGCCACCAAATGTCTGTGACTGTGTATGAATGAAAGTCATTGTGTACTATTTTAATCTCAGATGTTGTACATTTTAAGAGTATTTCAGTAAGAAATATAGTTGCAGTATAACTCCTGTAGTTAATGAAAATTTGCTTAAAGCTCTGATATTTTTCTATTTTACTGTACAGTGTAGATTTGCAGAGATAATTTGTGAAATATAAATATTTTTAATGTAGTGTTTCATATTTTTTTAACCTATTAATAGTCAGAAATCAGTTCAGCTCACAATGTAAGCTAAATATATTTGAGCTAAATGATCTCACCAGTATGGTGCACATCTGCAACTTACAGATGAGATCATTTAGTCATATCTGTATGAGTTCTGCATGATTGTCACCAACCTAATGATGTGTTGTCTACAGGCCTTTATACCAGCCCTATGTCATGGCCAGTGGAGCCACCAAGTCGGGCACTTCCAATGGATACCCTATTAGGGCACAGCTACAAATCGTTGGTGAGTCTTCGGTCTTCATCAAGAAGTGAAGACCGACACACAGAGGTTAAAATAAAAGTCAGGTTGACTTATTTTATTTCTGAGCATTCAGATAGCTGCTTAAGTTTTTCAGATGTTCTCATTAGTAAAAATCTGTGCTTCTTGCTATTACTGCATATTTTTTACTACCAGTTAAAAAAACAAAATTTGTATGTTTGCTCATTCACAAAGAAAGGAACAGTCTCTAATTGTTATGGTAATAATAGAGTGAGAGAATACCAACCACAAAATCCAGAACAAACTGATTTGCATGTCATAGAGTGAAATAAGAATTTCATCCCCTACAACCACACCACAATTCTGGCTCCCACTAATTACAATCAGTCATTCAATTATATTTATTATATTCCTGATCTCAACTCATATTGTGTATGAAGCGCACCTCTCCACAGAATCAATTTCTTCCATTCCAACATAGCCGTCACCACGGGCAAGACCATAGAGCTGCCCAAGACGTCAGCTGGGTCGTAGACATGCACATGGGTCCGTGGATCAGTCTTCCATCATGACAATGTCTCAAAACATACTGTCAAGCAGCACATTAAGGTCACATAGTGTTCTAACCAGTCTCCAGACCTGAATCCTGTAGAAAAATCTGTGAAGGGAAAGAAACCTCAAGCTGCCAAGCGGCAGCCTAGAAACCTAAAGGGTTTAGAGTTTTAGTGTTTGGGACTTTGTTTCTCTTCATTAAAATGACTGTCCATTTCTTTGTAAGTAAACTTGTAAATTCAGCAGGGGATCAAATAATTGTTCCCCCACTGCCTTCATACTAGTATTTTGTTCCTAAATTAAAGTTGTAAACAATTTATTTGTTTTGTTTTGGACTCCAACATCTGACTGCTCATTTACTATATGTATTCTTCCTGTTTAGTGCTATCAGCAAAACTGAAAGAAAACAAGAAAAACTGGTTTGGTCCCAGTCCCTATGTGGAAGTGACAGTCGACGGCCAGTCCAAGAAAACAGAGAAATGTACCAACACTCACAGCCCCAAATGGAAGCAGCCGCTCACTGTGTGAGTCAGTCTTGCCAGGATTACTAGACTCTTATATTAATTCATATCATAGATACTCCTATGCCATACTTCTATTTTATTACCCATAAAAGGTATTTAACTCGAGCCAAACCTGTCTAAATAAAACCTGTATTTAAATTGCAAATGTTTGAATTTATGAGAAAGGGTACAGAATGAATTCTAATGTTTAAATGTGCCCATAAAACCTCTAATAGCCCACTTACTCAGATAGATGCCATAGACTGTTTATTGTCATAAATGTTACTACTTATATTTTCAGGAAACCAAACCAACTGTGTATTTACCAAATCCTCAATTTTGTTCATCTGGATGTAGCGTTTTCAGAGGGAGAAACGAAACAACTAGAGAGCAGAGTAGAGTAATTGCATCATTCACAGTTTAAAAAGATAGATCTGTATTTATCTTATGTTGCGACAGACCCTTTTCAGTCCTCTTCTTGCAAACAGGAGGTTTGAACAGTAGGTTAATACAGCTGTGAGATGTCCATATTAAGGATATCCCCTGTTTTTGACATCATACAACATCTAAAACCCTAATTTTTAACTCACCAGAACTACTTGTACAAATGCTGACCTCATTATTTGAAACTTTGCCCATGTTTGTATAAATATCCATATGAAAATCAGCAAAAGCATAAAGGGCACCCTTTAAAGATTCTCTAAGCGTCTCTATGGAGTGAGAAATATTCAACTATGTTGAAGGAAAACAAAAGTTTTGGCACTAATAAAATGATAGTAGTTTATATTTGTAGCTTATAAAATATGCATATCAAAAAGAGAGCATATAGTAAATAATGCCTGTGCTCCTCGGTGAGAAGAGCATCATTCCTTTGTTCAAACATTTTTACAACCCATTTAATGGATATAATCCCTAGAGACTGCATTAAGTGATTAATAAGAACAGTGTGGTAATTTGGGTTTTGGCTCAAAGGAAGAAGTGTACCATGCACGATTACTGCTGACTGCACTATGCGGTAAGACAAATCATCATTTCCCCAGCAAACTGTCAGTTTCTCTCATGAGAATATAAAAATAGAATTTCACTGAAACTGTGCAATTGTTTTTCGTGCATACACTCTTGGGCTCGGTTTTCATAGAGTTTCCAGTTTAAAGAGAAGTTTAAAGACCTGTGTGTTTGGAATTGGCTTCCATTAGCAGTTACAGTCCCACACAGTTGGGTGAGTGTCCTGTGCATTTACAGGACTCCTGTTTCCAAGAATGCACTTCACATTTAGTGCACTCACACCACTTCACTTCCTGCAGTAAAAATATTCACACATTTAGCACCCCCTTAATTTTAGCCTATCTAATGTCTCCTTCTATGCAAAGTGGCCTTCTTATTATAGAACCCTCCTACAGTTTCTTTTAGACCAACGGGGGAAGCGTTATTATATAACAAGTGTTTACTATGGGGTGTAACCGGACCCAGTCCACATATCCACTGTCTCTTTTCCTGGTGACTGTTAAACAACTGTCGTAGTGACGGTCATGGACACTCACTGTCCCTGAATAGCTTTTGAACTTTATTGTCTGTGGTTCGCTTTCAGGACAACACAAAGATTTTTGCTGCTCATACAGACAAAGTGGTGTTCACTGTTTAGCTTGGTAAAACAGTTGTCAAATAGATTGCAGTGCTGGGAATTCCTGAGAGTAATTGGTTGTTATTTCCTATATTTGTAATTATTGATGCTTGTAGATCTTATCATTGGGAATTGTACTTAACACAAATGTTAGATTGGAGCTTTAAAAGGTTTTAAGACTCACACAAAATGGTATTCACTTGACATTGGCTAGCTAAGGACTTGTGATTGAGAAGTGGAATAAGAACTGCTTACAGATTTATTCATTTAGACAATGGAAAGTATATAAAAACACTATCAGCACATATTAATCTGTCAACCTGGTTGTTGAAATGGTGTACACGGCCATGAAGAACTTTCCTATGTTAGCTTTTCAATCGAAAAAAGCATGTTTGTTTTTTTCTTTCTCTTTTTAGTTTGTTTTTTAAACTTTCAAAAGTAACTGTTTCTAAATATATTGGTTTTCACAGGATCGTAACTCCATTCAGCAAACTAGTGTTTCGTGTGTGGAGCCATCAGACCCTGAAGTCAGATCTGTTGCTAGGGATGGCCACGCTGGATCTTAGTGAAACACTCAAATCTAATGACATGAAAAGTGAGTATATATGACACAAAGGGAAAAAAGGTTCCTACATACAAGCGGTGCGTTCTGCCTTAAAGGTAGAGTAAGGAGTCTAGTCATTTGGGTGGGGTCAGAGTAGAGCTCCTGTACTTCCACACTACAAGGAGCCAGCTGAGGTGGTTCAGGCATCTGACTAAGATGCCTCCTAGGTGAGCTGTGTGGGGACATGTCCAATTGAAAGGAAACAGCTGGGAGATTATGCTTCTTGGCTCTCTGAGGAATACCTCAACTTACCCCTAGAAGAGCTGCAGGATGAAGCATGTTAGCTTGGTAAAAACAGTGTCTTGTCACTCTGAGCCTTGCCTCAGAGTTGACATATATGATTATAAAGATATATAATTTAGTAACATTTTTGCGAAGGGATCAAATATAGAGAATAAATTTTGCAAGCATCTCATGACAAAAAAAAGGGAAACCCTCAACCCTTTAAATGATGTTTATCACATACAGCCGTTTGCCAGTGATGAAGCAAGATGTACTCAAAAGTACCACAGAAAATGTAAATTAAGTCCTTGTTTTACAAATTCTTGTGCCTTAACAAAGAAGTTTGATACACAAGTCAGACAGCTGTGATAGGCTCCAGCACATAATAATATGTAGCGGAAAATCAATGAATTGACTGATCCAGCAAATAAGATCCTGGATACAAGCAGTAGAAATGCGCTTTGGCTAACCCAAGTAACACAACAGTTGCACATAGAACAAAGGAGATTACTAAATATAAGAAATTATATGTGTAGACAATTAGACAGTAATGATTAACTAGTAATTTTCTACTGCAAAAGTAAACTGCTGCAAGTATAAACCACATCACTTCCTGCCCACCAAAGTTTTTTGTCAGATAATTTCCAAAAAGTACTTCTTTTTCTTCTATGAATGTTGTGTAAAATACTACTGTGTATTGTTGGTTAGAATTTTTTTAAGGGACATTATACCACTGACTGAAGTAAAGTTTGGTGGCATCATTAATGGCAAGGTTTGTATTTCAGATGCCATAGTAGCACTGACCATCGTGTGTTTCTTGTATGTAGTTTCTGAGGTGGTGCAGACCTTACAACTGTGTGCAGACAGGGACGAGTCAGACGTGGTGGGGGACCTGTCTGTCTGCCTTGACGGCATGACTGTTGATCCTGATATGTTCGCAAAAGCAGAAGCCGACCATCACAGTGAGTCACGGAAGAGCACAAAGAGGAACTTACATTGGAAGCATGTGAAGTTTTTCATTTTATGTTGTCATTTTTTTGTTTTATTTTACAGGACCTTTGTTTTTTTGTTTTTGTTTTTGTTTTTGTTTTTGTTTTGTTTTTTTACAACTTTTTTTTTTTAAACTGAAAAAGGGGACTGAAGATATTTTGACATGTTTTTTTTTTCAGAAGTTCAACTTTTCATCCATATCAGCAGTACTAATAGCAGAGTTCTTAATTATTTGACTGGTTATGTTACATTCTAACAGAATCTCTCATTTTGACTCATTTCTCTTGCATGCTTTTATTTCAGGTACATCAAATGGGGAGTCGCAGCCAAATGGTGATCATTCCATAAGGTACAGTACATCTTCCTGTCTTTAGGCAAGTTCTACCAGTGTCACATTTCTGGTTTCTTCTTTTTTTTTCTGCTTTGTTTATCAGTATCCACCCACCCTCCTCCACAGGCACAGTCGAGACAGCTCTCCAGCTGTGGACAGCATAGAGCACAAGTCCTCTCCTAGTGGCCGTAGATCAGTAAACAGCACAGGGTCTCCATCGGTATCTTCAACAGGGCTGAGGCCTGTTCGACCACCTAGGCCATCTAGACCTCCGCCTCCAACCCCACGCAGACCCAACTCTTCACCAGGTAAGAGATTTAATGAGTGAAAACTGCTCTAATCTGTCAAGACACTGAAACTATGAACTAAAGGAAAACGAAGAAGAGACACTCTTTTTCTATACCCACTCTCTACCATCATTCCAGTGTCAAATATTTAACCCAGAGGTAGATCTGGAATTGAGCCAAAGCACAACTTGCTCTTGATATGTTTGTACAACCGGTTTCCTTAAATATGAGCTTTCTTCATGCACAACAACACAGAGATGCACAATAAGATCATTTCTAGCTAAATCCTCTCGCACATGCGCCTTAATGATCTCTTATAATCATATTAATTCCACAGTTTTGTTCTTGCACTCCAAAAAGGGGCCGATTCACACAATTCATGATTGGCAGCTCAAAATGAACTTTATTTAACTTACAGTGTTCCTTGTTTCAACTATGCAGTTCATTCGCTGTCTGAAACGAGGCATTTTAAGTTAAGTTTCTAATTGGCTGGCCCTCACCAGTACAAAAAGATTTGAACAAAAATGCTCATAGTTAGATCCATGTCCCTAAGGTGAATATTTTAAGGAAATGGTGACATCACACAGTAGTGACATTCAAGAGCAGACAAAACTGTCTTAAAATTTGTTTAGAGCAGTGTGAAGCCTGTTGAAGCCTTGTTCATATGCTCTGGCCGTGTTTAAAGTGAGGATCCACCATTTTCTTTCTTCAGCATCTTCCAGCAATGACTCTGCTGCAGCAGACTGCAGCGACGGCCAGTCAGGTTCTGATACCCCAGTGCGAGTGCCGGCCTCGGGTCCCTCATCAGCCCCAGACTCAAGTCCATCATGGGGCTCTGACAGGAACTCCACAGTGGCCTCCGGTTCTGGAGCTGCAGCAACCAGGCAGCCGACCAGCACCATCACCCCTGCTGTCACTCCCAGAGTCCCCGCAGTCAGCACAGGACCCTTGCCTCCTGGGTTGGTGCTCATTTTCTAATTCTTGCAGAAGAATTGAGAGAGGTTTTCTGTACAGTCATAAGTCATGAATGTGAAAGAATGGAAACGATTATCTAATCTCCAAAGCCATGCTAAGCAATAATAGTGCCCAAGCCAAACTACTAATTGCTAAAGCGGCTGACTGCGCTGTAGTATAAATAGACCAAGAAAAGGAAGCTTCATCCAGAGAAAAAATGCTTAACTACTGAGGAAAAAATAAAGAAAAGGGGCTGTTGCTTAGCCGTAAATTAATGTTTTCTAAAACAGAACAGAAATACCTGAACAAGGCAAGGTCAGATGAGCATTTATATTCCATTCATCAATCTAATGACACGTTAGATGACGGAGCATGCTGAATATTGTAATGATAAAAAAATCAAACAAATATGCAAACATGAGTGATAAATGTGAGAGCAGTTTTTAGCATAGCAGAATCTTCTTACTGAAAAGACAAGGTGACATGCTACTTGTTTGTCTGTTGAGAGCAGATATGCCTAAACAGTGAATGACTTTATCTCACATTTTATATATTAAACATGGTTGTGACGATCGTGGTCTTTTTTTGGTCTGGCTTCATCCAGCCTGTAATTCTGTAAACATCCCTTTCTGAGCTCTGTGCTCCTATGACATCATTGTGACCTTCACTGGCTGTTAGCTGTTTTTCTACTAGGATGACTCATGTAGAAAATGCTAGAAATTATAAATCTGTGCATAATCTGCTAGAGTAGTGTCTTGCACCATTAAGAAAAGTGGCCTGAACTTTATCATTGTTCCTTTTTCTAGATGGGAGCAGAGAGTGGATCAGAACGGCAGGCTTTATTATGTTGATCACGTGGAGAAGAAAACAACGTGGGAACGGCCTGAACCACTGCCCCATGGGTAAACAAAAAAAACCCTCTATCACTTAGATTTTTCTTAGAAAGCCATCTCTAGTGTTATTGGACTGTTATAATAGTAGATACTGGTTATATTCTTGTTGTTCACTTCGTCCAGTGATATATTTGTCATGTCCTTTAGCCTGGAAAAAGTGTATGGTTTTTCTGTCATTAAAGCATTTATTCTCTCCCCCCCCCCACTTTACACCTTCAGCTGGGAGCGTCGTGTTGACCAAATGGGGCGGGTCTACTTTGTTGATCACATGACACGTACCACCACATGGCAACGCCCCACTGTGGAGTCAGTGCGCAATTATGAACAATGGCAGCACCAGCGAAGCCAGCTGCAGGGCGCCATGCAGCAATTCAACCAGAGATTTATATTTGGGGTGAGACATCCTCTTTATCATGTGATGCATTGTGTTGACTTGGATGGTAATAAGCTGGAATATAGTGACTATAGGTGTGTCTCATCTGTGAATTTACAGTCTTGTAATACAAATACTAAATGCAAAGAAAAGCGCCTGGACTTCTTTAAGTTGCTTGAAGATGTTTCACCTCTCATCCGAGAAGCTTCTTCAGTTCTAAAGTCAAACTGTGAGGAGTTCCAGATTTAAACCTAGTGGGAGTATCCCCCCAAAGAGGGACAAAAGGACCCCCTGATGATCCTCTAATCGCCTGAGCCAAGGTGTGAAAATGGGTGTGGGTCCCAATCAGCCAGGGTTTCGGGTGAGCTCATTGTGAAACCTGGCCCCACCTTATCATGCGAATTCCTGGCCCAGGATCTACATCCTGGGCCATCTGACCTCAGGAATTTGACCTTAGAACTGAAGAAGCTTCTCGGATGAGAGGTGAAACATCTTCAAGCAACTTAAAGAAGTCCAGGCGCTTTTCTTTGCAAGCTCCTTTGACTACGATGACCTGGATTACTTAGAACCTTCACAGACACAAATACTAAATGATTAGGAAATCGGATTTTGATTGAAGATCGATTGAAGGATGCAAGTTGAGAAAAAAAGCTAGATATCTTTCTTTTCTTGAAGCATTTTATACAAAATATATACATAAGTACTGTGCTGGATATAGCTTACTTTATGTTGCCATATTTCTGTGACATTGCTATTAATGGAAAAAGGTGGCTCACTGCTTTTGAGATGTTACTTTGGCCCTGTAGTTACAGGCCTCTTGCTCTAATATAGAATAGAATAGCCCTTTATTGTCATTGTACATGTACAACGAAATTGTGGGTGCTCCACGCCACCTGTGTCAGAATAAAATACAAATAGTAGACAGCAGGAATAAGCGGGGTGTGGGGGGAAAACACAAAAAGATGCACAGTAGTTGGGATCGCTGTGCCACTGCATATGTCCTTACACGCCACTATCTTAAAAACATGCCAAGCTTGTTAAACACAAAGCTTGGCATATCTGTTATGTCATACATACAAGTGAACACGCTTCATTAACGATCATCTTCTGCTGTGTAGGCCCAAGACCAGGCCACAGCCACTCAAAATAAGGAGTATGATCCTCTTGGGCCTCTACCACAGGGATGGGGTAAGGTCATAATGACTTTCTAATTTAAATACAAAAGTTTCTGTCACTGTTAACTACAATTGTTGCTAAGAGACATCCACACAGGAAGCCATTTGCTTGTTGTGCAATGCTTTGTTGCTGATAGTGTTTTACCAGTTTACATTCAAGGTTCCAGTTGCTGAGATGAACTCTTACATATGTCAATCAGTGTCCTACACTCTCATTGGAAGTTGCTTAAATCACATATTGTTCTCATATTTTCTGTCACATTTGGATTTTTCATTGTTTTAGCATTTGAACATCAGTTTTCAACATTTATTGTGACTGCCTTCTCTTCTGGAACCTGTTGGATTATATTCGATGTCTACGTTGGGGACTTTTTTTTTCTAGCAGTAGCCTGGTAGCTGCTGAGCTGCCAGCCCTGATATAAAGTGTTATATCATGATAGCCACAGCAGGATTTATTTTTATTATTTAATATAACCCCTTTAAATTAAGCTATCTTTATATTTGATTAAGGTAGAGATGTTTGTAGCATGAAAAAGACACTCGTCCCTAATTTCTCAATAATAATAAAGTTAAATAATTCAAAGGTAGCTATGCTTAATTGTGGCTTTTGCATTAATCTATTATAATGTAAAGTAAAGATGGAGTTAGGGTAGGGCAATATAATGTCTCACTTTGTGTGCTTGCAGAGAAGAGAACAGACTCCAATGGCAGAGTTTATTTTGTGCATCACCCTACACGGTCAACACAGTGGGAGGATCCAAGAACACAGGGGTTAGTGTGTTTGCATATTCCACTGTTTTTGTTATCAGATAAACATAAAACTGGTATATCTGTAGTGTGTGTTTTTTTTCATAACCTTTACTGAGAACATTAAACAGGAAAAGGTCTAATGTTGTTTTTCAGTTTGCTGAATGAGAAGCCCCTTCCTGAAGGCTGGGAGATGCGCTTCACTGTAGACGGTATTCCTTATTTTGTCGACCACACCAGGAGAACCACCACCTACATCGACCCCCGCACTGGAAAATCCTCACTGTATGTTATTCCAATGCATTCTTTTCCATTCTCCCAAAATTTTAAGGCTTCAGAAAGATATAGAAGACACAGTCACATTGGCTAACTAAAAGACGTACATTCTTTTCAAAAATAGTTTTATTGCTAATTACTGCCATAATGATACTTTGTAACAGAAGCAACAAACACGTTTATATCTCAAACCATCTTGTGTTCTTCTAAACATAATCATCATTCTTTTAAAAGACATTCTGAGTATTTTGGAAACAAGGGTTTTATCTTAATAGTCTGGTTTGACCGAAGCAGGTACTAAAGAAACACAACAACAAAAAGCTGTGCTGCTATATGAATTTGTTTCTAAAAGAACTTATTGGTTTGTCTTTGGGATTTAGTTTTTCCTTTTAGTGGCCCCTTTTTAACTATCATTTGTTAGTGACATGTGATCTGGATTCACTGTCAGTGACATTCTGGCTGCACACAGTCTTTTCAACAGTTCTGCGTGCCACAGATAAGTAAGCAAGTGCGTTTGAGTTTCCAGCCAGAGAATACAAAAGACTGGTTTAATGTTATGCAGAAAGTCTTTCTGGTGTGCTGATAAGCTGTTACTGAAACAAAGGCAGGTACTTGAAGACCTTTTTTGTTTGTTGTTGTTTTTTGTTTTGCTTTTTTGGGGGGGGGATCAACATAAATAGTTTAATTTCACAGTTGATCTAGCATCTCACAAGGTAGCTTTGATATACCTGGTAGTTATGTTTCAGCTGATTTTCAGTCATATGTGTCACTGTCCTAAGAATCCCTCTCTAATTTTAGAAGTCGTGACGCATTAGCCTGATATGACTAATGGGTCACCTAGTCTCCTACAGCATTCTCAGTCCTGATAGTTACTGAGTTGAGGCTTGGATCTGGTTTTTTTCACTCAGGTGGAAAAACCAGTTTGGGTGGAAGGTGATGAGAATGTGGTTATGTAAACTAAGATGAATAGTGGCGAAATTCACATGTTTATAACCTTCTCATGTACGTTTTTGTAAGTGGATCGCTTTTTTAAAATATATTTTGCAAGGACATTTATGTGGGCGTTCATGGGAGTGGAAGCGAGTGTGAGATCGAAATATCTGAAAGTAATATTTAAGGTATTAACGGATTAAATGAAACTCTGGTTTTTCCTTCTTTTTTGTCACAGTGAAAATGGACCCCAGATCACCTATGTTCGAGACTTCAAAGCCAAAGTACAGTACTTCAGATTCTGGTGCCAGGTGGGTGTCACTAAAGGAAAGGAGAGTTGTTGTCTTTAGAATAAAAATCTGCAGATTCCTGGCATTACACCATATCCACTGACACTATGTGGAAAATGGAGTATTTCATATCTTTCTAATGGATCTCTCAAATTGCATGATGAAACAAAGTAGAGATGAATTCCGTTTAGTCAGTCATAAATTTTTTCACGATGACTGATGACCTTAGGTTCATTTCAACTCAATTTGTTGTTATCAAGTCTGAACTCCCACAGTCTTCGATGGATAACAAAAAGTCATCATAAACAGGGGAGTGCACTGTTTTTGCTTTATTTAGTGTGCATGTGTAATATTTGTGTGCGTACCATGTTAAATAAAAAAAAACGTAATCCTTCCTTTAAGGCGAACCAGTGAGTCTTCACTGCAAAATTAACTGTTGCTGGCATTTTTCTTTTCTCCAGCAACTGGCGATGCCTCAACACGTCAAGATCAACGTATCCAGAAAAACCCTGTTTGAGGACTCCTTCCAGCAGGTACAGCAACCACCTTGAGCCACACTGTTCATTGTATTTATTAATGCATAATAATGACAAAAGTGCAGGGCATAAAGTAAGCAGACTGTAAAATTCCTAATTATAATAATGGGGTATTTTGTTTTAGAATAATAGTGATTTCACAGGTGGTATATCAGTCTGTTGTCTTTGTTGTAGATAATGAGCTTAAATGCTCAAGATCTGCGAAGGAGGCTGTGGATCATCTTCCCTGGAGAAGAAGGGCTTGACTATGGCGGTGTTTCCAGGTTAGTTATGAGAAGTCTCAGAATTCATAGCATAGAACTATTATTGGGCTGCTGCTGTCATTTTTATTTATGTATTTGCTGGATTTCTCATCCCACACTCACTTCTGCCTTGTCTTCTCCTCACTCACAGGGAGTGGTTCTTCCTGCTGTCCCATGAGGTTTTGAACCCGATGTATTGCCTGTTTGAATATGCTGGTAAAGATAACTACTGTCTTCAGATCAACCCAGCCTCCTACATCAACCCTGACCACCTCAAGTATTTCAAGTTCATAGGACGCTTTATTGCCATGGTTAGTCACTTTCTCATATGCTGGTTTTAAAGCTGTAATGGCAAGTAAGATATTGTAAGAGTCACTGTAGCATTATTTATAACAGTAAGGTGTTTCTCTTTGGCTCTCAGCGAAGGCGGTCGCACTTTTCTCCTCTCCCTTATCTTCCCTGCTTAGCTCCTCATGTCCTTGTCTTGTCTCGTGGTTTTTTTGTTTTTGTTTTTGTTTTTTTTGTTTTTTATTACTTTCCCTGGAACACACTCTCACAGTCTGTTTCTAAAACCTAAAGAGAATTATGGATTTGATCAACTGGTCTCTGAATGCTATTGACACCCTTTTCTCAACGAGAAGTCTGGGCTCGGGAGAGCCCGAGTGCCCTGGAGGGACTTTCCCTGCCGGATACACAATGGACGGGTGGCAGACATGGAGGATCGTGTGCCTGGCGGGACTGTCGATCGAGGACGCTGAAGATATCTACCTATTCGGAACCATGATAACAGGGTTCTTGCTGATCGGAGCTGGCTTGGCCCTGGCTTATCGGAGAATTAAGAAAGCGGAACTGGCTGTTCAAACCCCCCCAAGGCTGGCCGCTGGGATTGAAACGATGGGAAGAGGTGCGGCTTCTCAGGTAGGGCTCACTGAATGCAGCATGGTTAAGAGCTTGGAGGCGCTAACGGCTGCAATGAAGGCTCAGAATAACACCTCTGAGCGTATATTGGATTACATCAGGGAAGAATCCACTCGGAACAACACCTCTGGGCGGAAGCTGGATTACATCTCGGATCAGTTGGCTGCGGTCGTGAGGTCTCAGAATCTGCTCTGTGAGCAAAAGACTGAAAAGACCACGGAATTGAAGGTAAATAACATCATGGAGAAACTCGCAGCTATCCAACGGGAGATTGAGAGACCAGTGTCTGTGTCGGAGTGTTAAAACAGCTTGAAATTCTCATGAGTTGTTTGTAAAAGAAAAATCACCATTATAATAATGCGGCTACCCCTTCGGCGCCAGCTGTGGGCTCAAGGCCGGAACCGAACAAAAACTCCCTGATAACGACTGTTGAGTCTGTTCCTTCCCATTCCATGCAAGGCCACCTGGGTTGGCTGGTAGACTGTTTTCTTAGCCTGGCAGGGCAAAGGACACTGTCTCAGCTGAACTATGGACACGCACACACATACACTTACACTGATAAGCACACACTCATCCCCCTCCATTTCCAAACGCCTTCGATGCTTGTTTCCTGCGGGGGAACACGTCAGGTCTGTGTGACGCGCTGGGATGGTAGCGCTGTGCAGGGCGGCTGCTGTGTTCGCTTCGGATTACTCCTCACCCCCCACCCAATCCTGTGGCTTGTAATGTCTTTCACAATGTTGTGCTGTGGACATTTTTGTGCTTTTTGTGCAGAGGATTTTTTTTGTTTCCTGTTCTCATGCTGTCCTACCATGGAAGCACAGCATGAGTAGAGGTCTCTTTTTCCTCTTGTACTTTCCCATTGTAGTGTACATTTCAGTGTTTTTCAGTAACGCTACCGATCTCCGACTTGTATCCCCATGTAATGTCTGTGTTGTGTGTGTAAGGTCGGGGGGGGGTCCCATTTCACTGCAGGGCAACCTGCATGTGGCGAATAAAGCTTTGATTGATTGTGTGTAATAATGATGAACATGCATTTCCCCCTCAGGCTCTTTTCCATGGCAAGTTCATCGACACTGGTTTCTCACTGCCATTTTACAAGCGCATCCTCAACAAGCCGCTGACCCTCCACGACCTGGAGTCCATTGATCCGGAGTTCTACAACTCCCTCATGTGGATCAAGTGAGTTCACAAAACTGCTGTGTGTGTAAAGCGGTTTGAGAGACGATGCATTCTTAATTATTCTCATTCTAAATGAACTTGTTGACATTTCTTATTACAAAGTTACTAATACATTAGATTGTTTATGTCTTTGTATTGGTGTGTATCACCCTGTACATCTCAGGTTTTATTTATGAAGAGAAGAGTAACAGTGTGCTTAATGTGCTGCTCGTGTTTATTTGTGTGGAGAAATGACACATCACTGCACTTTGTTACACTAACTCATTAATGAAACAAGAACTGTCCCCCAAACGGCAGGGGCTGTAATAAAACTTTGATGTTTTATGATTTTTTTTTTTTTTTTTTATTACAACATGCTGACGTCAGCCTGCTGACAACGCGCTGATACCTGACCTTTGACCTGTGACCTTGAAGCACATACAGTCTAAAATGGTTTATTTTCTATCTTTTTCACCCACATGATTGGGGCAGAATTGGCTGAAATCTTTTGCTTTTATAAGCTGTAAAAACGTGAGATTTTTAAGATGTATTCATGCAGCGTGTGATTTGTTTTGCGAAACATTATGGGTCCATCTTGACGTTGTAGGGTCTCATATTGGGGGGGGGGAGTAACCATATGTCCTTTCATATTGCACTGGTCAACTTGGGCGCTAAAAATGAAGGTCAACCCAGTTGCTCACATCCCCAGAGACCCTGTTATTGGGAAGTTTGAAGAAAAGAAATTGTGGGTAAAATAAAGCTTTTACTGCTTTTCACATTTTGTGGGGCCTTGACTTTGATCCGATAATTTTTTATTTTATTTTATTTATTTATTTATTTATTTCCAAAAATTAAATAGACTCAAGCTGTCATGGGTTTTTTACCATCACATAATATCTTGAAAACTGTGGATGCTACACTGCTAACAAACAAAACAAATTAAGCCGATTACATATTTCCTGTCTTTGTGGGGACAGCCAATTGAAATGATGCCTCAAAACCCCCTCAAGACGAGTACTGAGCTCAGTCATTTGGGATTGCAAAGTCTAGTCCTATTAAGTAATCTAACCTACAAAGAACTGGAGAAAAAAAATCAGTGAAGTCTTATCTAAAAAGCTTGAGAAGAAAAGTGGCTAGACTTGAGTGTTTTTTGAGTACGTTTCACATCTCATCCGAGAAGCTTATTCAGTTCTGGAAGTTTTATATTAACTGGCTACAGATGACATAAATATTTTTATGCCATCATTAATTGTCAACAGAACCCCAGCACAATGATCAAAACCTCCATTAACATCCTGCGCTTAGCCAAACATCTCATGTGATTTTTAGTCCTTTTTAGTCACATGAATAACTGACTAGTAACTCAAAACTGAATTTACATTTTTACAAAATAATTGATTCCATGTTCTTCAGTCACTTTTAATTACCTTCTAATGCTAATCACACTATTCAAGCTTAACATTTCCTGGGGAAACCATGAAGAAAATGTTCTTAAAATTGGGCCTTGAGTAGCTCTAAATCCCCTTAGGCAACATTTTAGCTGGATGAGCGGAGGAAGAAATGTCGTCAGCAGCATTAATAGGTCACTGAAACGTGTTAGTCTTTAACCCTTGGTCAGGTTTTCAAATCATTCTTGGCTGCAGCAAATTTCCTGTGGTGTTAGACTCTCAGAGCTTTAAGTGTAGAATGTGTCATGATAACGGAATAACATGACACAGATGAAAACTTGTTGTAACAGTAATGCTGCAGGGACCTTGTTGCTCTTTAGGGATAACAACATTGAGGAGTGCGGGCTGGAGATGTTCTTCTCTGTTGACAAGGAGATCCTGGGGGAGATCTCCACTCATGAGCTGAAGCCAGGAGGAGGTGACATCCAAGTCACAGAAGAGAACAAGGAGGAGTACATCAGGTGGATTTCAGGGTTTTCCATTTAGTTGTTAATTCAGATCATTGTCTATTATTATTATTATTATGTCAATTCAATATAAGGCTCATATGACATGTTTATTAAGATAAGAGTTTTTTTAGGTTTTAAGGTTGGGCTTGTGTTTGCCTGTGCAGGCTGGTGGCAGAGTGGCGCCTGTCCAGAGGAGTAGAAGAGCAGACACAGGCTTTCTTTGAAGGCTTCAATGAGGTCCTCCCTCAGCAGTACCTGCAGTACTTTGATGCAAAAGAGTTGGAGGTATGCTTAAAGACAAATACTCAAGAATGGAGTGGGCGGTATACTTTTTGTCTTAATGAAAATGTATTCCGTCCCAGGTCATGCTGTGTGGTATGCAGGAGATTGACCTGGTAGAGTGGCAAAGAAACACCATCTACAGACACTATGCTCGCAGCAGTAAACAGATCGTCTGGTTCTGGCAGGTCAGTGTGAAGCCGAAGGAGTGACTCATTAAACTGAAGTTTATAATAATATGATAATATGGTCTTTAATCTTTCTTGTTTTTTGTTTGTTTTTTCTCCTGCAGCTGGTGAAGGAGATGGACAATGAGAAGAGGATGAGACTGCTGCAGTTCGTCACTGGTACCTGTCGCCTGCCAGTCGGAGGCTTCAATGACCTCATGGGTAAATATTGCAGGGATGACCATTTGAAGTGCCAAATGATTCTACATGCAGCATGACGCCAAAGGATAACCTACAAAGTTTTGTTGGTGGTTTATTTCAGTTGTATGTTTGTTCTTTAAGCCATTTGTAGCCTTTAGTGTGTTAGGTAGGAAACTGTCAAATTAGTGCAGTTTGTTTTGAAAGTTCACCTTTTCTGTAAGGATCAAACTTAACAGTGAGTTGTGCTTCACCTCGTAGGAAGCAACGGTGCTCAAAAGTTCTGCATTGAGAAGGTGGGAAAAGAAAACTGGCTTCCCAGAAGTCACACATGGTGAGTTCATACAGAGGACTAAAGAAACTACTGGGTGCGGATGGATGATAATGGGCATACACCCCACCTCATGTAAAAGAACAGAACTGTTTTGAGTTGCAGAAGTGTTATGGACAGTGTTGAAATAACTATGGAGACAGTACAGTTTTCCAATTGGGCCTGGATATTATGAATGCAGATTTACAACCTACTTCAGAGTTGTTTCAACTGTCCTTAAACTTCTTTAGTTTTCATCCAAGCACACAGCTCCACACTGACATAGGCTCACTTCAGAATCAAGCTAGGTTTGTTGTGGTAGCACCAGAATCAGCTTTTCAAGCTAAAATACATTTTTTAATGTTCATTTTCCAGCTTCAACAGACTGGATTTGCCACCCTACAAGAGCTACGAGCAGCTGAAAGAGAAGCTGATGTTTGCCATTGAGGAAACGGAAGGCTTTGGACAGGAGTAAAGAAAACCAGGAGGAGCTGGGTGCAGGAGTCTGGAGGAATGAAAAAACCCCACCAGTGTTCAAATCAGGGAGCCTCTTTAGAATAGGCAGGAGTTTTTGGGAGTTTGTGCTCATGCATGCACTCACATGTGTAGTACTTCTATGGGAGCATATGCTAGACTGTTGTCTGCATGTTGTTGGGTTTTGGGCACGGGCCCTGCACACTGCAGTCTCAGCAGGCCTCTGCACGCCCGACAGCTTGGAGAAATTTTTGTATCGTTTCAAACCAAAACATGGACGCTGCTCCCGTCTCTCAGAATGTGCACCGCTCTATGCCCGGTGAACTCGTCCTCTGTGACATCTGTTTAACAAGACTACAGGTTTTTTGTTTTGTGCTTTCGACTCATATGATCATGTCAGGTAAGAAGGAGGGGTTAAACTGAAAACATCTTGACCTGACGGAGCACAAGAAGTTCCAGGAGTAAAACCTTTAAAGAGATTGAGAGGGTCTGCTTTTTCTTCTAAAGAGTCACCAAAAATCATTTTTAAATTCTGTTGTTTTAGAATCGAACTCACACTTTGATCTGCATGTTAATTATAACAAGACCCTTTTTTTTTCTCAAAAGTAGTGCTTCAAACTTTTACTAACAGACAATCCTGGTGCTTCAGAGAGATTTGGCCACATGCCTATTTTGCGTTCCTGCTTCTTTAGTATTTGATCTGGGAATCGATTCGATGATTGTGAAAAGTGTTGTAACCTCCATTGTCTTTAGTGGTGGGAAGAGTGGGAGAGAACTTAGAGGCCCTAGTTTTATAGGGCCAGAGTTTGCACGCTGTGATGTGTGATGGGGGACATTGTGGATTAGAGTATCCTGGGGGAGTCTTTTAAGTTATTCATCTTAGTATCAGCTTTAAAATGTTTTCCAGCTTTCTCCTTTTATTTCACGGGATAGTCTTGATTAAAAATTAAATAAATTAACATCCTGAGGAAATCCTTTTTAGTAATTAATGAATCGAGATTTGTTTTGATGCTATTTAAAGTTAAAAGTTTGAAAACAAGACACCAAAATCAAGTCAAACCAAATCAACTTTTAAATGATAATGGATATTTTGAATGCTCACTTAACAGCTTGAAAATAAGCAGTTTGTAGCTTTTTGTACACGTGTAGCATTTGAATTGGATCGAGCTCTTTGCCTTAGTTGAACTTTTACAAACCCTACAGCGAGAGACAAAATGAAAGAGACAAAGCGTTTTGGAATTGAAAAAGGTTGAATTCTGTCTTCCCTTTTCCACTTAGAGGAACATTTTACCTCTAAATGCTTTTAGCAGAGAAAGCAGTTTGTAATTCTATAGTTTGTGGATTTGGGTAATTCTAAGAAAAACAGAATTTTAAAGCTGTGCGAGGCATTGTACTGCTTCAAGGAAAAAAATTAAAGTCATGAATTCCTGGGAAGAAAAAGTCTGAGATTAAAGTGGTAAATTTATAAGAGGGGGAGGGGTGAGCCCGGACTTCAAATTCAGACCCGAGACGACACCACCTGCTGGTTCGTGCCTGCAGTGTATCACAGCTGACAATTATGGTCACAAAATGACCTTCTCATTATAAACATCTGCACTTTGAAGATACTCGCCCATGATTCAGGCCTGTTCAAATGAAAGTAACATACAGACCGAGATGCTGTGATAGTTGTTATCACAGACCAGCACTCTGTAATGTGACCACTTCTTACCAAAACTTTTTTTTTCTCCTAAAATAACCACTTTAATCTCAGACGGGATCTTGATTTTTATTTTTTATTTTTTTAAATCCTGCATTATTTTTAATGTCATGATTTTAAGCTTTTTGTTTTGTTTTTGTTTGTTTTTTCTTTGAAAATGATAAGTCTTCCATAGCTTCATATTCTTAAATTTTTTTACCTTACCTAGAATGCATTACGAAAGTGAAAAGGTGTGTTTTTGTGTGAGAGAGATTCTTGCTTCACCTTCTAGGTTATGTATCATGGAACAGCTGACTTGGGCAGATTGTTGTATTAAAATGTGAATGCACAAAGAAACCTCCTGATGCTTTGCCAAGGTGGTATCCAGAGGGGAGGGGTGTGTGTGTGTGTGTGTGTGTGTGTGTGTGTGTGTGTGCTGAGGTTGGTGTAGTTTGGCATCAATCATATGAAATTTAGAGCAGCAGGTAGTGTGGGTTCTCATTTTTAGAGCGCTCCTTTGAATGATTCAGGTTACACACTTGAAAGACTGTTGGGGTCACTGATGGGGGCATTGGATTCAGGCGGTGTTAGTCTAATAAAGCACGGCACTTTCTTTCCCAACACCCCCAGCGTGTGCGAGTTCCATCCTGCTTTGTCTGTACCCCTGGACTCACCGTTTCCACGTGCATGGTGAGATCATCTGTCATTAGCCTTCAGGTAGCCTTATTTCCACCCTCGGGCTTCAGGCATGCTTTGTTAGCAGCTTGAAGCTGGCAGAGATGATCCACCGCAGGTTGCTTTATGCTAAAGTGAATACTCTGGACTGCACCAGATTGAGCTTGGGGGGGGGGGTGTCACGTGGCCTGTTTTTAAATAGTCAAGTGTGACCTCGGCTAGGACAACAACTACTGAGACAATGCTAGCATAAAAACTGATGAATGTATCAAGATGGAAAGTTGGTCTAGTTGCCTATTTACAGCTTTGCCTCAGATTGTTTTCCCTGATGCAGGATGATGTTTTGATCTTGTTCTGGGTCGATCGCATATTAAAATCTTGGGAACATAGTTGAATAGATATGTAAATATTAACTGCTTCTTTTTTTCTTTTTTGGGGTTTGTTGTTTAAATTTTTTTTTGTCTAGAAGCCTCCATATCCAAATAAACCACTGTCACTCCCCTGTACATGAAGTTGTAAATGGTGTCAATAACAAAGTTTCTTTTTTAAAAGAGAGGTTTTAAAAAGAGGTTTATGTTAACACTATTTTCTTTTCCCTGTTTAATTTCTGATGTATATGAACGTTGTGTAATATAGATAATGCCACCTTAATAAATTAACTCAGAAATGTGTGTGTGCCTTTACTGGGATGCAGTTGGTAAAAAAGACATTTTGTATCATCTTGTTTATCACTTTGATTTACTTAGTCTTGCTTGCCCTGGCAGGTTTAAGGACACAGTTGTGGTTTGGTTCCTTATCCTCTCTGCTATGATAAACATTTTCTCCTTTCATGTGGTGTTTCACTACCCACATTATCAGGGTATTTACTATGCCAGATGCATCCTGGTTGCTTTTCCCAATAAGCAAGCTTGCATGCTTTCTTGGGACTCTGATCTAAAATGCAACTGCAGTTACCCAACAGCAAGAGGGTCAAAGTCTAAGTCAGCGCGAGCCGTCTGTTATAAACTGCTAAATCTACCCAGGCATATGCAAATTGTAAAGGCCGATGCGTGACCCACCTGTTACTGGGAGACAAATGAGATCAATAAACTTTGGTCAGAGTAATGGGTTAAATCACAAACTAACTACCTTTATTTACCGATTTTAATTGACCTTTTTATATTAATACATTTCAATAAACATGTAACTACATATGTTTAATTTCAAGCTGAGTTTCTTCCACACTTTGGGAATCACTGGTGTAAAGCATAATGTAATCTGGATGAAAGAATATACAGAAGTAGGTAAATAAGTGAAATTTGGTGTTGGAAACATTTTTGGGTGATTCACCATTATGAATGAAATGGCAATGAATCATTCTAAAACTAACAGTAAAGGCTGATTTTAAAGGAAGATTTACCATCTACTGCGAGTTGAGCTGAGGTTAAAAGCAATGGTAAAAACTGGTCATTCTGTATAGTTTAGTTTTGTTTTTTTTAATCAGTCATAGATTACCGTTGTAAATACAGCTAGTTTTTAAATTATTTTATTAATTATGGGAATTTGTTAAACCTGTATGAAAAAGTAATCACCCTCTATTATTAAATCATGAATTAAATGTAATTAACCCTATTTTTTTATCAGAAATTTGAAATAAATTTCATTATCTAGACCAAGAGGTAAGTGAAGCAGGTAAAAGAAAGCAATTTCTAAGGCTTTGGGACTCCAGTGAGCCATGAGAAGACCCATTACCCAAACAGAAAACCTGGAAGTGTGGTGACCCATCCCAGCAGTGGCCAGCCTACCAAAATACTCTGAGTGCATTGACGAGGAGTTCCCCAGAAGTTCCCCTTTCCCCCAGAGCTGCTTTGAAATGCTTCTCAGACTCGCTGAGTGACCCAACCAAAGCCAAAACTGAAACCATTATAACGTCAGCAGCTTTGGTGTCACCTGCACTAAAACATGCACTAACATGCATTTAAATAGACACAATTACACTTTGAGTCACGTACAAACCTTAAAGTAATTTTATTTGTCGTTACATGAAATGACATGAAAACAGAACATTTTGGCAAAACTTGAGATTATGTTGTGACGGAGCCGGCGTGGTTTGAACTTGCACATAATACAAGAATTTAGAAACTTTCCACTGGGATTCATAGATCCAACAGATCCTTCAAATCTTCCAGTTCCTGTTAATCCAGTGTAATAATTTAAATGACGTTTTAATTTAAAACAAATAATGTTATGTAAATGTGTGGTTTAAATAATAAAAAAAAGGTTAACAAAGCTTGACGACTGGTCCTGGAAACATTCGGACTTGGCATTAGGACTACAAACATGGCTGCTGCAAACAGTTTTGGTCATCGCTTGAAATCTGCTCCAGTCCTCCTCCACCATGATTCACCCCGTCATCCTCCTCCTCTTCTCCCTTTGTCTGCCTTTCGATGGTGCTGATGGACAGCACAGCCTGACAGCCCTCATCATTCCTTCTCTCCTCTCCCGCCTCCCCATGTGTTTCCACTTGCTGCCGGATGCCATTTATGCCATTGCCCACCGCTCCATCATCTCCCCCTGTCTCCGTCCTTTTTGCTTTTCTCGTGAACCCGTTTCTTCTCTGCTCATCCTCTCTGTCCTTCTCCTCAGCCTCCTCTACCTCGTCTCCCTCCGTTTCTCCCGTCTCCATTTCTGCTCCCAGCTCATTTCCTGCGGCAGGACATTTGTGATCTCTGTAATAGCTCTGCCTGGTGAAGCCCTTGTTGCAGGTGGAGCAACGGAAGCGGTAGTTATCAGTGTGGGACTGCTGATGCTCGAGCATGTGAGCCCTGCGGCTGAACGCCTTCTGACAGAACAGACACTTGTAGGGCTTGATACCTGGAAAAAAGTTCATGTGATGATGCATTAAAATATTCGCATATACATACTGTATCTGGAATACAGAAGATCCCTAACAGTGCTTCTTCATCTTTTTCCTCAAAAATATTCTTGGTGTTATCCACTCACCAGAGTGTGACAGGATGTGGGCCTTGAGTTTGTCTGGTCTGTTGAATTCTTTGGTGCAACCGACATGTGTCCTGATGAAAATGAGAAAAACAAGAGTGAATAACTTTTAGAAAAGGAAAAACAAACAGAAGAGAACAGGGCTTTCCCACTTAAAGGTCTCACCTGAAAGGACACTTGTATTTCTTAAAGGGTTCATGAATGAGCATGTGTCGCTTCACTTTGTCTTTCCTGTTGAACGTCGCCTCACAGAGGGAACATTTATATGGCTTTTCACCTAGAAAATGGAATCAGCATTAAACTTACGCCTAAGCTGTATGCACAGCGAACAAAATCGGGTGTTCACATCTCATGAGATGCTAAAACCAGTCTAGAGTCACTGCACATCTGCAGACCACCTTACAACCCACCCCTCTCAGCACCTTCTTGTCATGCAGCCTGACTTAATCGTTACCTGTCTGTTGTCTGCTCTAGTCTGTCCTGTTATTCCAGTCCCATAGTCTTCCATTGTATGTATCTGTATATATTAGAGCTATTTTGTAACATTGTAATACATTGTATTAATAGTTGCTGTTCTTAGTCACTTGGAGCAACTGTGACCACCTAATTTCCTCTGACATTAATAAATACCTCCTTCACAATAACTGAACAGAAGGGAAACTGTGCATGTTTTACATATAGTCTGCGGTGCATGAGGTCATACAACATAGCCAAACAGATGAAAAGATAACCTGAGTGAATCCGTGTGTGCAGTTTGAGGTAGTGCTCCGTCTTAAAGGCCTTCTTGCAGATCTGACACTTGAACCTGCCGCCAACGCCGTGAGTGGGGAGGTGGCGTCTGAAGTATCTTTCACATGGGAAGACCTGATGGTCGCAAAGGGCGTGAGTCAGAGACTGAACTGACACGGGAAACAAAACGCCTCAAACAGCTCAAACCTATGTTCATGAACTAAACCATTCAAGCCAAGTTGCATTAGGCACAGGGAATCTGAAGCCTACTTTAACATGTGCATACACAGTGAATAAAAGGTGAAACGTCGCGTGTGTCATAGTGTACCTTTTGACAGTGTGGGCAGGGAAAGCTGTGCGATGCAGTTAGCAGGTGTTGCTCTAACGCTTCTTGCGTAGAATATCGGCTTTGGCATTTCACACATCTGAAGGAAAAACGTAAACTGTCACTGTTAACAAATCCTATGAAGAAGCGCATTCAGTCTGACAACTGTAGAAATGACTAGTAGACATGCAGTTCAGAGTAAGACGTGATATATAATTTTTGCTACAGGCAAAAGTACAAGTGATTATTTACAGCAGCAGAACAGTGAACGTGAGACCTGCTCAAGACAAACTATGCAACAAAGGAATATGACATATCTGTTATGGGATTTATGCAAGCAGGCTCTCTCCACCTCTCCAAACTTCTTCTCTCTACTCCTTCTTCCACTCGAGGATAAGTGCTTGAGCTGACCTGTACACGGTGGCCTCCTTGCGTGTATTTTGCTGCGGGCAGAGGGAATGGGAGTACTGGTGGAGTCCCAGCTCAAAGAGCGAGGGGAACACCTTGCTGCACAGGTGGCAGCGGTAGGTCAGTTGCTCCTGGTGCGTCCGGATGTGTTCCAAAAACTGATCCAGAATCTGGAAGGTCTGGGAGCATGATTTTAACACGCACTTATAAACCTGCAGGAAAACAGTCACAAAGTCCGAGTGACTAACCCCGTGTGTGTCTGGACGTTTTCAGTCAATCCAACTCATCAGCACAGTTTTCTAATGTGTACCCATCATGTCTTTATGACTCACCTGCTCCCCCTTGTGTTGGGTCAGGTGGGACTTGAGCTGGAAGTAGGTCTTAAACCTGCTGGCGCAGAACTGGCACTGGTAGGAGCTGTCTATCACCACGATCTGTTTGGTCTGAGCCGGGCACTGCTGGTTCTGCCTGCTCTGCACATCCTCCGCTTGGCTGCCCTCTGGATCAGCCCGAACCTCGGCCACTCTCTCCTCCAGCTCCCCAGGTGCTTCTGCAGTCAAGCAGTGAGTTAACAGTGAGGGCTGTGAGTGTCCACGTGTGTCAAGAAACCATAACCAGTGACTGTCACTGATTTATCAGACACTGTTACTGACAAAAACAGACTTCTTGAGGAACACCGCCACACCTCTACAGCTGAGGGACACAGCAGCAATCTGCCCGCCTGATTTAAATCTGGCTGCTGTCACATTCAACGTTATCTCCTTAGAATCACTGGACTGATTTCACTGATGCTGCTATTTCTGGCTCGCTCATTCACTCTGACTTGGTGTCAGGCAGTGTCAGCGTCAGACCTATCAGCTGTCATTTTGGCGAGGACTACAAAGGAGGCAAATGTGCTGAGTAGTACTGAGCTGACTGCTTTGCTCCAGGAGTTCAGAGCGTTTGCCTAGAAAGCTCCTACTTAGATGCCACAATATTAAACAGTAGAACTTTATCACAGGACCTGAGGTGGTAAAGTGTCTGTGCCTGGTCATGGTCCTGACCTGGAGCACCACATCTGGGCTTGGACCCTGTGAAAAACTGCAGTTTGGTCTCAACATGACAGTCAGGTTGGTTTGACACAGGAAGTCAGTGGTACAAAGGGTCAGAACAGGACTTCCTGTGAGACTGGAAACAGTCCAGAAGTGTGCGAGGATGCAATCTCGAAGAGAAGTTTGACCAAATTTAAATCAGGTACATTTTTTACTTTACTTTTAAAATTGTCTCGTGTTGTAGCTGATCGTTACTTCTAACTTTACATAGCCCTTTTCTCCTGAGTTTCAATTGTTGAGGTTCTGAATAACATTTTAAGCAAATTTTTTGAAATCCATTGATTAACTCGTGCTTATCTGGAAATCAGGTCGCAGTGGCAAAGTGTCCCAGATGTCTTTGTCGTCAGCAACATTTTCTAGTTCCTCTTGGGAGATCCTGAAGTATTCCCAGGTCAGACAGGGCATATACGGCAAGATTAACTAAACGTGACAAAATACCATGCAAGTACAATCTCCAAAAAGCGCTCATATGTGTGGTTAGTTTTACAGATGATTTACAAAAGCTGTGCTGCTTTCTAAACACAGGTGCAGTCAGTTCATTTAATATCAAATGCAAAAACATGCTTTTGTTCTGCGTCAGATATAAGCATAGTTAGCAAATGTTAAATCAGAAAGGAACTCCCAAAAATACATAAAGGGAGAGTAAAACAAGCCCAGTTTTGTACTGACAATGTGTAAATAAACTGGGCTTTAATCTCTCCAGTGGGTTCTGGATCTACACCGGGCTCTGCTTGCAGTTGGGTGTGCCCAGAAAACCTCCAAGAGGAGGCAACCAGAAGGCATCCTAATCAGACCCTCAACTAGCACCTTTCAACCTGAAGAAACAGCGTCTCTGCTCCCTCTGGCTGACCATGCTCCACAGCCTCTAATCCTGAGCCCAGCTACCCCACTTTAGTGAGGAGCCAGCAGTGAGTTACTACTGACAGGTAGCTCTCCCTCACACTGTGAGACAGATTATCAGTTTAAAACATTTCCAGCTTTTAGTCCGTTTACAGTGATGACATCTCCTTCCTACTCATCATCAAATGAAGAATTCCTGAGCATTGACCCACTCTTATTTCACGACCGGCTTATGAGCGTTGGTGTTTATTTCTCTTACGCAATGACAGCAGCTTGTCCATTTCTAAGTTTGTTAGTAGAATCTTAGTCTGTTTTTTCCACTTGGACACTTTGATTGTTTCTTCCCAACATTCCCAGGACATTCAAATGCTGGAATTTCCAGAACACTGATATCCTTTTCACAGTGTGTTATTTAACAGACGGTACCTGCTTGCGTTGGCTCCTCTGTTTGTGTTTCCTGCATCCCGTCCTCATCCCGCTCACTTTCCTGCTGCTGTTCCCCGCCTTCTTCTTCCTCACTGGGGGGCAGTGGCACCACCTTTACTGTGATTGGTAGTCTAGACACAGTGCTGGCCACGCTCATAGGCCACACCTGTAAGATAAAGACAGCTGTTGTTAGTGTGTTGATTAAAATTTAAATACATCATGCAGACACCTCTATATCACAGCACCTTGTGTGTCTGCATGTGTTTCTTCACATTGGACTTCTGCGCGAAGGCTCGGCCACAGACGATGCACTGAAACGGTTTCTCTCCCGTGTGGCTGTAAGAGGGAAATTGTTTTAATGAATCCTTTATTTCAGCCTTAAAGTTGGTCGATTCTACATCCTGGAAAGCAACTCACCTCCTAATGTGCTGCTGGAGATCAAAGTTTTTCGAGAAGACTTTGTCACAGAAGTTACATTTGAGCTTCGGACCTTTTCCCTTGAGCTGCTCTGCTGAGGAGTCCAATTTAGACAATTAATACAGTTTATATAAAGATCCATCATGTTGTCCTCTACAGTTCCATTAGGTAAAAACTGTAAAACTTTTCCACACGTACCTGCGACTCCATCTGAGCTTTTTTTACAGTTCCTCGGTCGCTTGGGAACGATTACCTTTTCAAAGTCACCCAGCTCCGCCATGCTGGCAGTGATGCTGCAGGTCTTGGTTTTGGTGCCCTGCTTCCCGGGGCTGTACACGGGAGGGGTTGTGAACGAATGACTCTCTACACCCTGACTGGGCACCTGAGGAAGACACGCATGGTCACAGAAACTGGAAACGTATCATTTTAACCACTGCGACGGCAACCAAACAGCAAGCTTCACTCACTTGCACAGGATGGAAAGGCTGCAAACCCAGTGTGTGGATCTCAGCTCCACCCCCGCCACCCCCTCCACCTCCAACCATGTGGGGCAGAGTGCTGTACACCTGCACCACTGAGTTGCTGTGGCTCGCCGGGACCTGGGAAGTGAGTGTCTGCTGGGTGGGCTGTGCAGGTGGCAGGGGATGGGAGGGCGGCTGCTGCTGCTGCTGTTGTTGTTGTTGTTGCTGCTGCTGCTGTGGGGGCTGCTGCTGCGGTTGATGAAGGTGATGGAGGTGGTGGTGGTGATGGTGCTGTAAGTAGGACACACCGGCTGTGTGCATGCTCAGGTTACTCTGTCATAAAGGAAGCGCACAGATTTGGTGACAGGATGTAATAAATTCAAATGCTGGGCGTGAAAGAGAGAAGGAAGCAAACAGTACCTGTATGGGAGTCTGCATGGGGGCCATGGGCTGGTCGATGGAGGTGAAGGCTGAGATGGCAGACATGAGGATGTCATCGCTGACGAGCACGTTGCCTTGGACCAGAGTGTGCGTCAAAGGGGAGGGAGGGACTGTGATGTAGGTGGACACCTGTGTGAGTGCCAAGTTAAACAGTCACATCAGCTGCTTTTTGAATCATTATAACAAAATCTTTTTTCCTTTACAGTCCTGGCCTCTTATATAACGTATTTATAAAATAATTTTACCATCAGGTCAGCTTTACCTCAGACCATTACCTCTTTCCCACTTCTCCTTACATTTCTTATCAGTTTTATTACTGCTTTAAGCTCTGCACTCTGCACAACTAACTTATTAAACCGAGCAAGTTATTTATCACCCCCACAGATAAATTGCCCTTTTGCTTTCCTCACCTGTCTGTTGGCAGGAGTCTGCGGTACCGAACTAATAGACGGGACAGGCGTGTAAGCATTGGTGGAGGCCAAGGACACTGTGGACAGAGAAGGGGTGCTAGACTGGCACTGCTCCCTCTTGTGCGTCATGAAAGCAGGCAAAGAGTTGAACTGTTTTTTACACTTCCCACACAGGAACACGTCTTCGTCGTCTGTATAAAGGTTTTAGGCAGCAAGAAACAGCAGACGGGGGAAAAAAAAGACACACATGAGTCAATTTTGAGGATGTTAATGCACTTTTGGACATTTAATGGGTGGTGATATTCATCCTTTAATGTTTTTGCAGTGATGCACTTGGCTTTAATAGCTATTTTAGCGGAAAAGTACTTTTCAAAGACTGCACACGATGACATCATTTCACAGCAAAAAGTGTGCACCACCAGATAAATTAAACTAGCAGTCGAGTCTGTCACGAGGACCTCATTTTGGTTTGATGAACCAGCTAATAGCTAACTAACTAATAACACAACAGTAATAACGTGTCAAATTCTTGCCTCTAGATTCTTCTTTTTGTGTAAGGTTTTTGTTATGTGACACAAATATGAGCTGCAATAACATCAGGATGAAAAACATGTGCTTATAAACTACTTACATTGTTTTAACTGACATTTACTTAATAAGCTGATCTGACGACAAGACTTTTCAAGAACCTTGGTCTCTGCGATGATTAATCAAATTAAACTGAATCCAACCACCAGGGTCACTGACCGCCACCCAATCCACAAGGCACCGAACCCCTGTGGTACCTTTTGTTTGTGGTGGGCTCATTGTTGCTCATTCTGGCTATGCCTGGACAGGCCCCGTGGATAAGGCCTGACCACCAGGCGCTCTGCCTCAAGCCACATGTCTGACTCCATGGTTGGGCCTTGGTAACCCTCTCCTAGGCAGGGTAAACTGTTCTCTATTTTTAGTTCTTGGTATTGGGGTTTTCTGAATTGCTCTTTGTCTGATCCTCTTCCACACTGAAAGGAGCCAGTTGAGGTGATTCTGGCAAAAATACCTGCTACCTGAGGGATTTTTCCGACACATCCTCCCTTTAGAATGCACTGGGCAAAATCCAGGACAGAATGAAGAGAAATATCTCAGCTGGCTTAGGAATGTCTTGGTGTCCTCCTGGATTAGCTAGAAGAGATGGGCGGGCATCTCTCCTTCTGCCCAAAAACCCAGACCCAGATAGGCGTCAGAAAATGGATGGATGGATGACATGTCTCTTGACATAAAAGAATAACAGGACAATGACACAGCCTGTCCCACAGCTGTGCATGCTATTACATACCCATAGACTGGATTGTTGGCGTCCCAGAGACGTTTTGGTTGTTTGGGTCAGGAACACCTCCTTGGCTGTCTAGCAGTGACTGGACTGCCAGCACTGTCTGATTGTCCATGCCTGAAGAGTAAGAAGAAGAAGAATTCACCTGCTGCAAAGATCCATTTTAGTCTGATGCATGACTTACTGAAATGTCTAAACATGAATTAGTAGTTTTATCTTATTAAAAGAAAAATCAACTGTGATCAGAAGCAATATTAGTGTGGAAGACTAACAGCTTTCGATAAGGATATCTCTACATCCACTTCAAATCTGCGTACAGTAATCTCCTGATACTGTACTCACTTACAATAACAATAACAGTAATAATCCATTTACAACAAACAGGCTGTTAGTCCAGTAATATTACAAAGTCTTGTCATTAAGAGGGCCTGAAGGAAAGAAAATCACCCTGAAATGTAAATACATTTACCATCTGACTGCAATACGATGACTACGATTAATAATAAGCTGTCCGTTAGGTCGAAAAAGTGTTTAATCACTTTGTTTGTTTACATTCATACAGAGTCCTTCCTATGTGCTGTTTTCTTGATTGAAACAAAACCAGAGGCTTGTACGTGGATTTACGTTATTTTTCTGCGTTTCCGAATGGGCCTACATCAGTGAAATGTCTAAAGTAGGAGCAAACGTTTTGGGTAACTGTAATTACGCTGCAAATAAATAAATACTCATACCTTCCAGCACCTCAAATATTGCCTGCGCCATCTTGTAGCACTCCTACTGGGTGGTAGGCGCTCGATTACTTATGGCTGCCTCTTGAGGTAACTGCTTAACTAAGGAAAATCGCTTTCACCCAGACATGTTTTATTAATATTAATGTTGTTATTATTGTTGTTGTTATTATTATTATTATTATTATTATTAGTAGTAGTAGTAGTAGTAGTAGTAGTATTAGTATTATTATTATTTGTGAGAAACTCTTCTCGAACGCGAGACCGGCAAGAAGAACTGCGGTTAATAGTTTTTTTTTACTCCGACAACAACAAAAATGTAAATTTATATTAATTACAAACAACTTGCTTGACATCAGCCTAATAAACTAAATATATTTGCTTCAACTAAAATAAAATGCTTTATTTTCCAAGTTCCGCGAACGCGCTTCTCATCGATTTATCTGCGTTCGTAACGTGACAGACACTCGCTTCTGCCAATCAGAGCTCCTCGGCCCCGCCCCGCGAAAAGCGCACAGCTCGGACCAATCCCAACCGACTGCTTGGCGCACGTGTTGGTTTCGCGGCAAAAAAGATTTCGCGCGAAAACCGTCAGGGGCTTGTTTAGATGTAGATCAGCTGAGACAAAAACAACAATAAAGGACGATAACGGGGTAATGACGGCGTTTTAACGGGTGGATTGCGGCCGGGGTGAGCAGGCGATGTCCATTGATTGTTATGTTAAATCGTGCGCTTGTTTTTCGCCGCTTTATGTGCTTATATTTCCAATTTTGTCGGACTGCTTCCTGCGTGCCCCAACAAAACAAGGGGATTGAACAACTGCCGCTAATAAGTTAGCTAACATGCTAATCTGCCCTATATATTCGTATTCGACCACATCTATGTACTATCCGCTGGACTGATGCTCGCTTTTATAGATATAGTCTCAAAGATGATTTTAAGTTCCCGTGATGCTTTTTTGCTGCGTGGATATTTTGTTCTGATCGCTCACTTCTGTAAGCTGCTGTAAAGTTTTAATAGCCTCTTAACTTCGCTCGGTGTTTAATACAAGGAGAAGTAATATTGTTCTACCGGCGTGACCTGCTAGTTTGGCGGCTGCTCGAGTTTGTTTTGTGACCCTGTTCGAGTCTTTGTCATTTGGTTGGAAGCTAGCTCGTTAGCCGGGGTGGTAGCTGTTCAGGGGCAGTGTGGCCAGGCCTCGGCTCTACTGTACTGACAGGAGAGATGAAAACAAAAGGTTAGCTTGCTCCCTTTGCTAGCTTGCCTGAGTGGATTTCTCCCACGGCCAGTTTCGGACTGGTTCTCTGATAACTTATTCGCGGCGGAGCTTTTATAGTATGCATTTAGCAATATTTCATGTGCCAAATTTCCTGTTTGGCAGCACACCCTGGCTTGCTGTTTCAGCCTCAGCCTGAGTTTTAGGACGTGGCTTTACATTGCTGTGGTGTAATCAAAATGTGTAACAAAATAAAACAGTTTATGAAATGTTCCACCTGCTAATGAACTCATTCGAGACAGTTTTCACGAGAATTCACCCTTGTTGCCTTTATTCACAAAAAAATGGCAGATGTGAGTCGGTGCTGATACTGTCATAACAGCACCTTAGTTTATAACTACCACAACCACCGCCACCCAAGTCCAGTGAAGAGGGGCTCCTGGTGACACACTGCAATGTCAGAGACTCTGATAACAGGGCAGACATCGGAGGATCTGTTAGCAGACTTTGAGACTTTGCTGAACTCTGGGAGTATCAACTTGGACGAGGACCACCAGATAGTGATTATCACCAGCCCCAGCAATGAAGGACTCCACCCAGCCCCTGCCCCGACGAGCACGGGGGAGATCCTGCTGTTCGCCACTCCGCAGGGCCCAGCTGACGTAGGGATCCAGGACAAGAGGAGACCGTCTCTGGGAAGGCCACCGGTGAGGAAGGGAGGTGTGGGAGGAAAGGGGAGAGAGAAAGTGAAAGAGCAATAAGGGAAGTGGTTAAACTGAGGAGTTGTTCGTTTACATACTGCACGTAGCAGAGCTGCTGTAAGTTACCCACCTGTTGCTGGTATCATTTTCACATTTCTCTGCTCGTAAACAGTGCGTGTCTGTGTCAGCAGTTAGTCTGTTACTGTCTTACGTCTGTTTCTTACTCCAGACGTGTGTTCCTTCAGGTAAAAAGGAAGTTGGACCTGGACAGTGACCATCAGTATGTCAGCACCACTCGACCTTCCACAGGCCAGGCACCGCTTTCCACTCCTGCTCCTCCCAGAGGTACAGCTGACAGCCCACACCCCACTCTAAAAAAAATCCTCGCCCACACATCCTTGCTCACCTTTGCTCTCAGTCATTGTCATAAAAGCAGCTGTTCTTTTATCAGCGCGGCCTGTCATCCTGTCTCCTCCAGGCTGGCTGTAGTGAGAGAAACTTACAAATATCTTTCTATTCAAATAATGGAGAGACTGTTTTTTTTTTAGAATGGAGCAAGAGAAGAGGCGTTGCGATTTATCAGTTCATTTGATCCCTTTCATTTGCAGTATTTGGGCTCACTGCATGCACCAAAAGGATCAAATGATGGACTTGAAATGGAAAAGCTACACGTGACACACACATTATATCAATTGGTATAATGTAGAAATATGAGTCTATCCCTCATGCAAGATAGACTTCTGAATTGTTAGAAATGCAGTCCATGTGGATTTCCACTGGGATCTGTTTGGAAGGAGATTGATGCAAAGCAACTTTTCAGTATCAGTCATTGACGATATGCACAGTTGGATAGCAGAGAGGAGCGAGGGGGGAATTCTTTATTTTTATATATCAAAAGCACAGTGGTTAGCACTGTTGCCTCACAGCAAATGTGTCCTGAGTTCAGTTCATTCCACCATCAGGCCAGGATCCTTCTCTGTGGAGTTTGCGTTTGTGTTTGTGTTCTCTCCAGGTACTCTGGCTTCCTCCCACTGTCTGAAGACATTGTAGTCAGTGTGGGTTAGGTTAATTGTAACCCTAAATTGCCCATTGGTGTGACTGAGTGTGTTGTTGTCTGTCTCTATGTGTTAGCCCTCTGACAGACTGGCAACCTGTCCAGGGTGTACTCTGCCTCTCGCCCTAAGGCAGCTAGAATAAGCAGTAGCAGAAGAGAATGGTTAAGTTCTTTTGATGCTGAAGAGTCCCATTTTTTTAAAGTGACTGATAATCTTCATTTGAACCTTTTGCCCACCGCAAACCGCTGTCTCAGCTTACGCTCTAGACCAGTAATATGTGCATTTCTTTTCATTCTTGTATGTATTCTCTTTCTGCCCAGTTCCTCGGACCACGGCAGAGAAGTCTCGGTATGACACTTCTTTGAACCTGACCACCAAGCGCTTTCTGGACCTGTTGTCCCAGTCGGCCGACGGCGTGGTGGATCTGAACTGGGCGTCTCAGGTGCTCGATGTTCAGAAGAGACGCATCTACGACATAACCAATGTCCTGGAGGGGATCCAGCTCATCTCCAAGAAGTCAAAGAACAACATCCAGTGGCTGTAAGTGTTCAAAGACGCCTAAAACAGCAAATGAAAGAAATCTGGGAACGGGAGTGGGAACTGTGGCAGAATAAATTTGAGTGCTTGGTGTGTGTGTGTGTCTGGTGACCCTAAACAGTCAGTTTTTCTCTCGTCTACCCCTGCAGCGGTAATCGCATTGATGCGGCTCTGGTTTCCCGCCATAAGGAGCTGCAGAGGGAGGTGTGTGACCTCACAGATGCTGAGGAGCAGCTGGATGAGCTCATTTCCAAATGCAATCTGCAGCTCAGATTGCTCACAGAGGACCCACAGAACAAAAAATATCCTTTTTGTTTTGAGTATCAGGTTGTCTGAAGTGGTTACAGAGCTCGGAGTGTTGCCGTGTGCAGACTCGTCACGTGTGCACAGCTCTGTGATCTCTAAGTGATGAGCTGCGATCTGTTAAACGGAAAGCGGCTCTGGCAGCAGCAGTAGAGCCGAGCTGGACACGTGATGCTCGTGACTTGTGCGTCACTCAGAAACAGATGTCAAAAAACAGATGGCCTAAACATTTACATTAATGAATATATGAAATTATTCCTTAATCGCTGAGTTCATCACGTTGGGGTATGTGCGCTGTCAGGACTTGAGGCAGTCGTTCGATTCCCCCGACCAGCTGGTTATGGTGATCAGAGCTCCACCAGAAACCCAGATGCAAGTTTCGGAGCCCTCTGAGGTAAAAGCTTTGAAAACATTTTGCCCAGGTCACTGGACTCACTGTTGTTGGAGTTTCTGCTAATCTGCACATCTGCATGCACATCCCAGGGTTACCAGGTGTCGCTGAAGAGCACGCGAGGTCCGATCGACGTCTTCCTCTGTCCAGAAGACAGCTCTGGCGTCTGCAGCCCTGTGACAGGA